GGAAGGCAATGGCAAACTGCCTCTGCTTCTCCCTTGCCTTAAAAGCCCCTCGCTGGGGTCGCCATAAGTCTTGGGAGACCACCAAGGAAGGCTCTGCAGAGGAAGGCAGTGGCCCACCACCTCTGCTTCTCACTGGCCTTGAAAGCCCCTTGCTGGGGTTGCCATAAGTCTTGGAAGGGAGACCACCAAGGAAGGCTCTGCAGAGGAAGGCAATGGCCAACCACCTTCGCTTCTCCCTTGCTTTGAAAGCCCCTTGCTGGGATTGCCATAGGTCTTGGGTGGGAGACCACCAAGGAAGGCTCTGCAGAGGAAGGCAATGGCCAACCACCTCCGCTTCTCCGTTGCCTTGAAAGCCCCTTGCTGGGGTCGCCATAAGTCTTGGATGGGGGACCACCAAGGAAGGCTCTGCAGAGGAAGGCCATGGCCCACCACCTCTGCTTCTCACTGGCCTTGAAAGCCCCTTGCTGGGGTTGCCATAAGTCTTGGAAGGGAGACCACCAAGGAAGGCTCTGCAGAGGAAGGCAGTGGCCAACCACCTCCACTTCTCACTGGCCTTGAAAGCCCCTTGCTGGGGTTGCCATAAGTCTTGGAAGGGAGACCACCAAGGAAGGCTCTGCAGAGGAAGGCGATGGCCAACCGCCTCTGCTTCTCCCTTGCCTTGAAAGCCCCTTGCTGGGGTCGCCATAAGTTGGAAGCTAAGCAGGGTCGGTACTGGCACAGCAGAAAGGTTAAGAGCATGAGCTGGAAGCCTCCAGTTTATATCTCAGCCGTTCATCTCTAATACACAGAGGAAAACAACCGCCTCTGCCATGAATTCACAAAATAGACCCAGGTGTGCCCCTTTCTTGCCTGGAAACTCAGCAACCAATTCTGATTCACACGCAGAACATGTAGAATTCCCACCTTGCCGATTTTCCTGTGGTCTCTGTTTTTGGCTTCCTCCTGGAACTTCTCCCACTCCTTCATCATTTTGTTGTCCGGGAACGATATCCCATAAACCCTCTGCAGCGTTTCCATGTCGGCTTTCCCCTCCCAATACGTGGAAGAATTCTAGTGTCGGAAACATTTTTAACTTTAAAAGCATTCCATGATGGAGCACGCTGAATATACGTCCCCCAGAGCCGAAATCCAAACGCAGGACATCTTAACAGCTTTAAAACTTAATCAAGAGATGACTCTGCCCTTGAAACCCCTAATTTTTAAAAAGGCCCCTTTACCTTAATGATCTTCAAGGCCTTAATTTTTCCGGTATGCCTCACATGAGGGCCTCTGCACAAATCAATCAACGGGCCGCACCTACCAAAGACAGATCAGAAGACAGTATACAAGAGATAAGAGAGAGAAGAGATTGGATTTATACCCCGCCCTTCACTACCCGAAGGAGTCTCAGAGCGGCTTACAAACTCCTTTCCCTTCCCCTCCCCACAACAGACACCCTGTGAGGTAGGTGGGGCTGAGAGAGCTCTGACAGAAACTGCTCTTTTTTTCAAGAACAGCTCTTATCAGAACGGTGGCTTGCCCAAGGTCATCCAGCCAGATGCAAGTGGAGGAGTGGGGAATCAAACCCAGTTCTCCCAGATTAGAGTCCGCGCAGGTTAGAGTCCCGGTTAGTCATTTCTTTGAATGTATTGTTCCTTGATGAAAATGTAAAACTATCCATTTCCTCTTCCCAATTATCAACGTACCACTGTCAGGTAGCCGTGTCATAAGTCTGGAATGTGGAGGGGTGCCCTCCCGTTTTCTGTCTCAGCTCTCCCTGGCTCACCAACTGTTTGCTGTCTTATGCTTGACCTTGTAGATGCTACAGCTGCAGTTTTACTCAGCTGGGAAAGTTAACGGCTTTCTGCTTTGCCTGCTTGCTGTGCCCGCGTGTGCAAGATGTATCCATTGGCTTATGCTTACCGGGGGGGGGGGAGGTTTGATTCTAGTATAAGTCAGAGGCCCTTGTATAGGCAGCCATTCCTGACACAAGCTGTACACGTGTCTCTAGTACTGGATTTACCAATAAAATGTTATCTTCTTATGAAGCCCTGTGTTGTGTAACCTCGCTAAGGACCCTGACAAAGTGTCATGAATGGTCGCCTATACAAGGGCCTCTGACTTATTTGAAATACGTCACAGATGTATGTGGGCAGGACACAAAAAATGAGGTAGGCATGCATTTACCTGTACACGGTTGTCGTCGGTGTGTCAACTTTCTCATTCAGGATTCGACATTTAAACGGGTTATACTATGTAAGAAGACAGAGGGTAAAAAACGTAGGTTTGGTGTAAAGGAGGAATCAAAAGCTTGAATTATTTCTTTGTTAAACCTGACTGTGTGGCTCTTTCAGAATTTTCTTTTTTGTGTGTTAAGAAGAAATTGGATCTATACCCCGCCCTTCACTACCCGAAGGAGTCTCAGAGCAGCTTCCGATCTCCTTTCCCTCCCTCTCAACAGACACCCTGTGAGGTCACGCCAGCCGCTGCAAGTGGAGGAGTGGGGAACACGGTTCTCCCAGATTACAGTCCATGCTTCTAACCACTAAAGAAGAAGAAGAAATTAGATTTATACCCTGCCTCTCAATGGACACCCTGTGAGGTAGGTGAGGCTGAGAGAGCTCTTTCAAGGACTGCTCCTGAGAACAGCTCTGAAAGAACTTGTGACTGACCCAAGGTCACACCAGCAGCTGCATGTGGAGGAGTGGGGAATCAACCCCGGTTCTCCCAGAGTAGAGTCCGCGCTCTTAACCACTACCCCAAAACTACACCAAAGAAGTTTGCATGCATGGTGTCAAAACAGAAGAGCCGAGGGAGTGTGAGGCTTCTGTTTTCAAAGCTCACCACCATTTTTGCACTAGGTGATTTCCAGCAAAGCCAAAGAATTACCTTAAACATGTCTAGCAGGACCTCCTTGCGGATTTCTAGCCTTTCAAAGGGCTGCTTCTCTTTTATGATGCTTTTGCAAAGGTTCTCCAGTGTTGGGAACTCAGTACTCGATACTCCTCTAGAGCCAATAAAAGAGCCAAAGATCATCAATCAAGTTACATATAGAAGAACTAATATAGGTTGACTTCAGAAGCAAAGAGAAAATTACATTTTTAAATATTTGTGTGTTGCAGCTTGATAACGTATTTGCTACTGCAGATGTTATGATAAATTGTAAGTTTAACTCCTAAAAAAGAACATGTGCTTAACCACCAAATCTTTCCTTTCGAAGAAGAAATTAGATTTATACCCTGCCTCTCAACGGACACCCTGTGAGGTAGGTGAGGC